ATATATATATATATATAGATATATGTACTCGTGTGTTTGTGTGTGTTTTATATTTCAGTTTCTCTCATTGCGTCATGATTCTCTTGCAGGATATATTTTGTGCAGCTCCAGTGCTTGGCAGGTAACAATGCCAAGAAATATCAAAGGATTGTTGGGTTCCTGTCTTGTTATCCCTTGCAGTTATGATTACTATCAGTATCCACCTACAAGACCAGATCGTGTAGTGTGGTATCAGTATGTGAGAAGAGGATATCCAATAGTATATGACTACTGGAACTGGAATGATGTGTTGGACATATTTAAAGGAAGAACACGTGTATATACTTCTTCACACCATCGGACATGTAGTCTGTTGATTGACCCAGTGACCTTGGCTGATCACAGTCAGAAGCTTTATCCCTGGGTGGATCCTGAAAATGTTGGATGGAGAACCTACCCTTTCTATGACACAACTGTAACAGTTGAAGTAGTGGGTAGGTCAATAATTTAAGATTTCACTATAAATTGATCACTATGTTGTTATGTGATTATGAAAATCTTCACATTTTATGATTTAAGGCACAGCAGATCCACCGGTTATCGAGATCTTTGGAAACATGGTGGTTGGGCAGTCTGTAACAGTGCAATGCAGTGTTTACCACACTTGTCCCACTTATCCCCCAAGTCTGAGGCTCAACATCCCCCTGCAAAACGAACGTCTAACTCATAGCCGTCTATCTAATGGAAGATCCAAAACTATGGTGACAGCCACTCTGTCCATAGAGAAAGAATATCAAATTGTGGAGTGCTATGTGGAACACCGTGGTGGTCGCTCTGCATCAGCATCTAAAACCTTAACCTCAAATTGTAAGTGGTGAAAGTAAATTGCATTTTATCCTACGCCATCTTTGATATTTAACCATTTTTAATTGTATCCCAGGCTCCATTTCAAGGCTGACTGTCAGCTCTGCATCATATGAATTTCTGGAGAGAGATCAAAGTACAGTAACTTGCACTGTTTCATACACATGCTATCGAAATATTCCAACTCTGACATGGAATTATGGTAATATGCCAGCCTCCTCTGATACTAGCAAGTTATCAGGGGGGGCTCTGTGGAGGACTGTCTCCATACTGACATTTACAGCATCAGCTAATGATGATGGAAGATCGCTGATATGTTATGCACGTTTTGCTGGAGGTCAGACACGACGAGCAACCATCACTCTCCGGGTAAAGAGTAAGTACAAATATTTATTAAATTAAATTTATTAAATGTAACAGCTAACCATACACCCAAAACTTTTACAGCATTTATAGGATTGTCCTGCATTTGTTTTCTCTCACAAACTACATCTGCAATAAAAGTGATAATACCTAATCATAGTTTACATATATGCTTTTGAAATGTATTTCATAATAATGACAATAATAATAGGCAGATGACCAAGTTTTCCAGTGGTGCCTGCAGTCATTATCAGCAATTAAGCATTTTTTAACCATTCATGAATATTCAAATGCAAATCTCAGAAACCCCCAAAAGTTGATTCTGTTCATCTGGACGTAGCCTTTTCAGTGGGAGGAAAATTTCGTGACTTCTTCAGTGGCTCGTCACACAGAAGAGCTACCTCAAGGACTCCACGGTCTTTCATTTTGTAACGTATTCTGTTACGTTACTCAATGAGAGTAGAATATTCTGAATAGTCTAAGGAGCTTGGAAAGAAAAGCATCTGGACTTCTTTGAGTTGCTTGAAGACGTTTCACCTCTCATCCGAGAAGCTTCTTCAGTTCTAAGGTCAAATGGTGGAGAGTCCCAGATTTAAACCCAGTGGGAGTTTCCCCCCAAAGAGGGACAAAGGATTAATTAATTAATTGATTAATTAATTGATTATAAAAATCAGTTGGAAACCCATCTGGACCAGGGGCTTTTCCACTCTGAAGGGACGTTATTGCATTTTTAATTTCTTCCAGCGTCAGACTTTGTTCCAATTGTTCTTTCCAGTCAGATTCAATTATAGGAATATTCAGATTGGCAAAAAAAGCGTTGAACTTATTTTGAGCTGGTGCTGAATCTCAGGAATATAATTTAGCATAAAACTCTCTAAAATAGTTGTTAATAGCTTGATGATCCTCAGTTGATGAGCCATCTGATAAGATGAGTTGTGAAATAACACGAGATGCTGCTTTTTGGCGGAGCTGGCTAGCTAATAATTTGAATGGTTTATCTCCCTCTTCGTACAATCTACTACGGGATTTCAAAATGAGTTTCTCTGCCTGGGTAGTAGTTAATAGATCAATTTCAGTTTGTAAGTCCACTCTCCTCTTAATCAAATCAGGGGTCGGAGAGCCAGATATGAGTCCGTCCAGGTTCTTGATTTCTAAGGATAACTCCTCAATCTTCCTATACTTCTTCTTCTTCATATATGCAGAATGAGAGATAAATTGTCCCTTTAAGCGTCTCCCAGAGGGTCGAAGCTGAGATGGCATCTGTCCTATTTACCTGTAGAAAAAAATCTATTTGTTCTGTAATGAACTTCACAAAGTCTGAATCAGCCAGTAAGAGTGGATCCAGCTGCCATTTCCGCTTTGTCCCCGGAGTCGGAAGAGTTACCTTAATACTAATCGGGGCATGATGAGAAATGACGATTGGATCATATTTACAGTCTGTAATAGCACTCAGTAAGTAGGGGTGAACCTGAAAAAAATCTATCCTAGAAAATGACTTATGCACATTAGAGTAAAGCGAATACTCCCTTTTAGTGGGATATTTAAATCAGCAAGGGTCTACAAGTTTATGTGCCTCTACAAATGACTGAATTGTTTGCACAGATTTAGACAGTCTTTGTCAAGATTGG